ACTTTGACTCGATCTTGGGAAAACTTTGGCTATGTGACCAGTAACGAGGTTGTTTCTCAATAAGTTGTTTTGTCGCTCTTCGTGAGCCCCTCTTTGCGTCTTTTCGCTCCCACCCATCCCTTCCACCATCTTTTTCCACTTTGTTTTTTTCCCTTTGCAATTTTTCTCTAATACTCTCCTCTCTCCTCTCCTTTTTTTTCGGGATTCTTTCGATATCATCCTTAAAAGAAAAAAAAAATGGACTGCTCACTTTTGCATGGAATAGTTGTTAATGGTCGGGGTTCACATCTAAAAATGGCCACGATATCCGCAGCTTTGCGGATTGTAAAATTTGGAAGAAAGGGGCTGCATGCGAGCAATGGGTCGAGCTATTATCCTTGAACACATCCTTCTTTGAACCATTAGCTAACTTGAGATGGTATTTATGGCACTATCTAGATAGAATTTGTATTACTACCCTTCGTAACCCTCTCGGATCATCTCCAAACAGCGAGATACCCTCTCGTGGGCTATGAACGATATTTATATATATATATATATATATTTCCCTTTTTTCCATAATTTAAAACATTTGATCCTCTACCAAGGATTACGATACAAGCACACTCTGGCTGGTTGCATACATATAAGTTATCGCTTTTTTGTTTTTTCTTTTTCCTGTCTCTCCGATTTACCCTGTACTCTTCGGAGGATCCATCTCCCATCATGTTTTTTTCCGCTACTTCTTCCTTACTTTTTCCTCGCTATTCTCTCTGTGATTTTTTATGACAAAAAGGTTTTTGGTTCATACGATTTAAGCACCGACTATCCAGTCTTCCCTTGCTTTTAATCGAAGTACATGACACGGCCAGATCAGGCCATAGCTGTTGCAGAAACATGAAACTTTTTTACCCCCCTGTGTTTTTCCTCCTTCTTCCTCCTTGATTTAGCACAATTACTATTTTACTGGCCTTACGAAAAAAATCAAGATATCTGTAGTCCTGAGCCACCAACTTAGAGGATTATCGAAGTTTTTTATCCAATAACCATTTACGATTGTCTTTTCTTTTCTTTTCTTGTCTTTTCTATTCTTTTCTTTTCTTTTCTTTTCTTTTCCTTCCTTTTTGCGCACCTTTATTGTGGTTATTGAACTTGCTCCCTTATCCACCCCGCAATTGTTTCAACAAAATATAATACCTCATGGTCGCTGGAATTACATACTTATTCGGAATCTTATCTCATATAAATCCTATGATCCCCTTGTTCAGATTGATATGGCTTGCGTAAAATCTAGTGTCCGTGTGGAATGCTTTACGGGGGTTACGCCGAAGCATTATGTCGAGGCTTGATCGTGGTATGGTTTACGTACCACCCCTCGACATGATGTTCTTTTCAAGACGAACCGTTACACACACACACACAGACACACACACACACACACAGACACACACACACACACACACACACACACACACACACACACACACACACATACACACACACACACACACACAACCCGCTGCTTGTTTTTTTTCCTTTTTCTTTTTTCTGATTAAATGATTGATTGATTGGTTAGTGGGGAAGGGATCGCCCATCCCCCCGCCATGCACGCACACACACACACACACACACACAAATAGACACACAGAATCACACGCGCGCGCGTGTGGGTCGTACCCGTTGTTTTTCCTTTTTACTTTTTTTTTTAATTTTATTCATTAATTAATTGATTGGTTGGTGGGGAAGGGGTCGCACTTCCCCCACGTGCACACACACACACACACACACACACACACCTGCGGGTCGAACCCGCTGTTTATTTGTTTTTCACTTTTCCTGTTTTTTATTGATTGATTGATTGATTGATTGGTGGGGAAGTGGTCGCGCTTCCTCCCCGCACATGCACATGCACAA